ACAACAGGATGCACTTCATGTGAGTTTTAGTAGAGTTTAGTACATTGTGCACATGGTAAAATATTTCATTTTTTATAGGTAGTAATTATTGTTGGAATAGTACGGGTGTAGCTCTTTGTGGAACTAGTTCTAGTACTATTAGTGACCCTCGAACTATTAATATAGCTACAGACGATACCATTTATGTTGCTGGTCATCAAACTGGAGTTCTGAAGTGTACAGCGAGTCAGACCAGTACTAGTCTAGCAACAACAGCTTATGGTGATCATGTTGATTATATTAGTTTTGATAGAAATGGATCCATGTATACAAATGATCATAATGACGATACGGTACGTCGTTATGCATCAGGTTCTTCAACTGGAGTTCTTGTGGCAGGAGCTGGCTCATCTGCTACTGGTACTTTCGCTCGTCCAGTTGGTACTGCTATTGATGACAACTTCAATCTTTACGTAGGTGATCAAGATGCTAAATTAGTGAAAAAGTTGGCAGCAGGTTCATCAAGTCTTGTTACTGTTATCAACACTGCCAGTTACATTGACAAACTCTCGGCACTTTTATTTCCAAAAGATGCATCAGATCGACTTTTTATGAGTGATGAAAACCAAAAGGAAGTTTACTTATGGAAATTTAATGCAACTGCTCCGAGTGTGACATACACAAATGTTGCTGGTGGTACTACACTTAAAAAACCGAGAGGTCTCAAATTAGATCCTTACGGAAATTTATATGTTGCAGACAATGATAATTCTCGAATAGTGATGTATTGTGTAAATTCTACAACGGGCATTGTTATAACGTCGATCTCTGGCAAACCAGAAGATTTGGCATTTGATTCTGATATGAATCTTTATGTATTGACAGACACAGGAAAAATATTAAAACATAGTTTACTATAGATTGACTTTTGTTTATGAACTTTGATTAATACTAACCGATTGATATTCTGAATTTATACTTACATGAGTGATTTGTTTTGTTTATAATGCAGTACCAATAAAAGATTATATATTACAAAGTATGTTCGCTTATTCATATAACAAAATTCGAAAATCTATTTACAAAAGCGTACATAAATGGTCGTATGAGGCATTCCAACCTCTCTGCTTTTAGATTTATATAGCAACATCCCTTGCTTTTGTAGCTGTTTCACGTGCGATCGCCTCTGAATTCTTCCTACTCTGAGTGCTGAGGTGTATCCCTGGCTATTCATCAATGAGTGCTAAAGCATCTCAAAATCAGAGGCAGCGTGATCAGGGATGTGGGGGAAAGAGTGCCCCTTTCTGCTTTCGAAAGTCGGCTCTAAGATTTTCTCCAAATTCAAGAAAAAGTTGCCTCGAAGTTCTTTAGTTTTGGGCGAAAATAGCCATAGGTTTTTGTCATTGTCAGACAGAGCAATCTAAGGTTTTCTTCCAGAGTGTGAGCTTCTTCGAAAATGGAAAAAAGTGATCATAGATCTGTTTCATTTGGGAAGGCAACCTTGGATTTTCTTCCAATTTGAGGAGACATCAATCTCAAGTTTTCTCCAATCTCAGAGAAATTTAGACTGAGCTGCTCGAGTTTTAGGACAACTAATCCCCAGTTCTATCGGCATTTTCAAAATAAGTTCTGTAGTGCAAAAATCAATATTGATAGAACTCTAAACACACATTCTGTTTCATCAAAATTCAATCAGGCATGCCTAAGAAATTTGTAGTTAATTAAAGACGTAAAAAATTATAAGTGCATATGTTACTTGATAAAGGTGCGTCTTTTGATAAAATATGTACACGTATGATACATTCTGGCATGTGTTGTACATCTCGATGTTGTTTTGAAGTTGACTGGGAGTTCAGTAGATCGTGACCGTAAAAAAATGTTCATTTAGTTTTCATCTTGATCCCCGCTGTCGATGTGTAACTTTGCCGATGAAGATGATGAAAATGTTTTGACTTTATTCTCATTCTTCAAAAGATTCCATACCTGCTGCTCTGATCTCTTCGCGCCGCCACTGCTCAAACTATTTTCTTCAAAATTATTTTTGTTTTCATTGAATCATTATTTCACAGCTTGAAATATTCTTAATTGCAACAATCGATAGTGACGAGACTAACACTTTTCATTTAAATTAAGCAACAAGTATAATATATCTCAAGAGTGTGGGTGTAACTGGTCGTGTGGGCCCTTATTTCTTTCTTTCACACCCATACCTGCACACCCACTCCTTTGTTTTGTTTTTCTTCTTCATCAGTGTTGTTTGACAATATTTTACCTAATTCGATAAAATAAGATGCTACTTGACCATGTGATCTGTTTAAAAAAATATGTTATTATCAATATACTCTGACCATAAAGAACTTACTTTAATATTCAGTTATCTTTATATCCTTCTATTTGTTTTCTCAATTATAAATCTCCCTCCAACAGCTGTTAATAACTTAATTTCGAGTACATGTTAGAATACTTTTTGTACTTAATGACAGTGATTTATCAGAAGACTTTTTTCGCTTTTTGTTTACAATTGATTGATTTTTATTCTCATCGTCTACTGAAAAGTAAATCAATAAAATAAACATTTATCATCTCAAATGATTAGAAGAAAAAAACCAGAAAAACACAACAATGTATTGATAAAATTATTCTCGCCTAGTACGAACTTATATCATTTGAGATGAGCATAGTAATTTTAATCTTGTTCGTATATTAAATCAAAACTTTCACTCAATTTTATGAAAACTATCTTTTTTGAATCAGAAATCAGATCTTGAGTTATTTTATAGTTAACATAAACATTTTTTAGCTATACTGATGAGAATAATAAGAAGAATATCTTCATAGAAACGATTTATGAGATACTTCTTTACCAACTACTTGAACTTAAATTAAACAAAATTTATCTATATTTTCTCACCATTACATGCCGAAGAAATTGAGGCTTTTCTTGAACTACAAAAAGAATTATCATCATTTGTTATTGAATTTAATGATGATATTCAAGTTTTATTTTCATTTTCTAATCCATTTAATGATGATAATGTTGAAATTTTATTGTTATATATTAATTCATTTGACGATGATGTTGTAAATTTATTATTATTTATTCCCATGTCCTTCGAACCGCTATAAAATCAATGGTTAACGGCGGTTCTTATGCTTAATTTTTTTAAAACCCCAATGCATAATTTTTTTATACTCTTAGAAAAACGTCAGATTTCAATCGAAATCAGGTCCCTCTGATATTTGTCAGCGCGCTCAAGTCATCCGTGACACTCACATTCATTGTTTTAGCTTAATTTTCAAGTTCAGTTATTAAATAAAGATGGCGCAACAAAAAATAGTCGTTAATGAGATGACTTAACTAATGGAAAAATTGTAGCGCCATCTAACATAATATAGTGTATTATATTAAAGTCGATTTTTTTGAGGAAATATCAACATTTCGAAGATAGATTAAATAATTTTAACAAAAAAAAACTGAAAAAGAGCTTTAAAAAGCGTAAACCATTTTAACCAGCGGTTTTGACAAAAACAAACACGACATGGGTTAATTTATTTGATAATGATGTTGAAGTTTTATTATCATTATTTAATACATTCGACGATAACGCAGAACTTTTACTATCATTTATAAATGAATTTGATTATGATAATGATGATGATGATGATGATAATGAACTTTTAAAATCATTTGTAGTATTATTGATTGATCGATTAGTGGAAACTTCGAATATCTTTCTAACTTCTTCGTCTTTTTCATTTGCACTTTCGTATTCTATATTCTTTTCATCAATGAATAGTTTTCCAGTCTCAGAATCGGCATCAGAATGAAAGCCTTTATGTTGAATATCATCTTCTTTTTTTTCTCTTTTGTTTCAATATGTTCGATAGATATATTATGTTTTACTATGAATTCCAAAAACATGCGTTCTTTTATTTTAAAACTGCATACTTGTACAATGAAAATTCTCGTCATTGCCGAGACTTGAATTAACAGGATCACGAACGGTAACATTCAAACGCGACTTTGAACTATTTTTGTTTCAAAGCAAAATTACGATGAATCGTAGTGTAATAATGGAATTTCTTCTTATTATCAAGGACATGACATATTTTTGATTTTGATAACTACTGTGTCATTTTTTTCGATGATATTCATCACTACAATCTTTAACTTAAAAAAATACAATAAGATGAAAGACAGAGATATTCGCTGAAATTTATGCCCATTACATTACGCAATACTACTTGGGCATAAAAAAACCACAAAAGAATTCTATCCACCATGAAATTCAAACATTTCATTGCTGTTACTAATGGACCAATCCATATCTCTAGTGGAATACCAGACAGACGGCTGCAGATGACGCAACAATACATAATCGATTGATTATCAATTCGGATAAGTTTTCTTTTCCTTTAACTCGGAGGTCAACCTGTATTATGAGGGCACATATTTCCATAAAATTTATCTTTCAGCACACTTTTACGAAATCGATCATTCTCATACACAGTTCGTCGATATTAAATTTTTTGAAACATTACTCATCGTGGTCACACTTGGATATAACCAATTGACAAACTCTAAAGAAACCTATTTCGATGGAATCCAAAACAAACACTATAATATTGTGCATTTCCAAAGAATTATTATCCCTTAAATATAGCCAACAATCAACATTATCATATTTTTCAATTTTAATGCATTATAATGCATTCGAAATAATAATAATAATAATCATCATCATCATATAGTTTAACCATAATGCATTATGATACATTAGCGTGTGGGTGTGAGTAAGAATCTGAGTCGGAACTCAAAAGGAGCATTCCAACCAAGCCAAAACTCTCAAACCCACACCCACCCCGACATCCCTGAACTCTTGTATGAAAAATATTATTGTAACTAGAATCAATACTGAGAAGACCTGATTAAGTGAAGGTGCAGCACCCAAATCTTAATTGGATGACGTAGCACTAGATATTGAAAACGCCTGATTGTCTGAACTCCTAGCAAGAAATAATCTAATTGAATAATAGTTGAATACTAATTAATCATGACCAGGTTTAACTATCCTTTACTAATGGCCATTACAAAAAAAAGAGCGAGCGGATATTTTTTGAATAACTTTTGATAGGAAATGGTAATGAGCTGCAGTGTCCACCGTTGGAAAGGGAAGATGAAAACATATCGAACCACATAAGACAATAACTTTTCACTTGGACTTTTGAAACTTTTTGCTATAGTTGAACAATGAAATGCTTTGAAAACAGGTATTATTTTGCCAGGAAAAAAAAACAAAAAGCTGAGTTTTTCTTACAGAAATTGCTGGTATAGTGGACTAGAATTGTCAAATATAATACCTAGAACACCAAAACTAGTAAAGCTTTGAGTCATAGTCTTATATATAGCTTTGTTGCTTGTCAGCTGGCGATTCTAGCCCACTTCTCAAAGTTTAAGATTTGTCCTATCTTCACAGAGCAACAGTGTTCTCTTTCAAGATGACCATAGATCACTGCTTATTTATGAAATAAATCTCAACAATTTTATATGAATCGATGCGCTGTATCAGCCTCTTTCCAGCGGTGAAAATCACAGCTCTCTATCTTGTTCCTATCAAAAGTTATTCAAAAAATACCCAATCGCCTTTTTTTTGGAATAGGCATTTGTCTTAATTATCTTTAACTGTCCCTAACTCGCCCTAATTAAATTTTACTATTGTTGACTACCCGTAACTATCAGGATGTGGGTATGGGTTTGGGTGTGGATTGATGCGGGCCTGGACGTATGAATGTGAATGTGTGCGTATGCCTGTGGGTATTCAAGGTGGTGCGGGATGGGGAGTGTGGATGTGAATGTAAAGTGTGGGTGTGGCAAGTAGAAACAACTGATTTTTGTGACTTAATTGACTTAAAATGATTCTCATGACTTTAATGACTTTAAAAAACATACACACTGGACAAAAGTCTTTTTCCATCTTTCTTATTATGCTATCATATTTGACAGTGTGGGTGTCGATGTTGATCTGGCCAATGGAAAGAGTCACACCCGCACCCGCACCCGCTAGCATTACATCCACTAATTTGCATCCAAACTTCACTCTGACCTACAGCAACATCCGTACCGACACGCCACTCACACCCACATCCATATTGAACATGGCGGTATTCACTACAAATGTAGGAATCATCTAAGATAGAGAGATTGTTGACTTTGATGAATATGGAAACTATTTTTATGACTTACAAAATCGAAGATGGAAGGTGCAGGTGTGATCATGGGTATAATATGATTGGTTAATAGAAGAGTTACATCCGACATCCACGCTGGACAGCCACACCCGCACTCACACTTACATCCACAGACACAGCCACATCGATACCTACATCCACACTGGCACTCACCCGCATCCATACCCACACCTAGCTGTACCGCAAAGATTCCACTGATGGTAGTTTCCAACTTCGTCCAGTGTTCGGCATGTGAGACAAACCTATTGTTTGTCGAATGATTCATTTGTTATTTTTGTATGACGCCAACATTCAACGCTCCGTTTCTGTCTACTTTTGCGTCTTTTTTCCCGCTTTTCTGTTTGAATTCTTTTCAACTATACGTTCTATTGGTAGAACTTTACATAGCAACAATAAAACATTCGAGGTAAGAGCACAAGACAATTCAATATGAATGTTAACAAAAAATTTCATCCTTGTCGGTAGAAGTTTAGTTCATAGAGAGTATAAACACCTATATTTATCTCTGCATGATGTGCAGTAGTTGACAGTCTTCGAAGAGAGACAATTGATAACAAAAATAACATTGATTGAGGACATATCAGAAGGACTAATTGTAAACAGCTAGTAAAGCAGTATTTCTCTAAAAACGGCTAAGTATTTTTCTCATATTTAAATAGATAAAATTCACATAATTATAAGTAACAGACAACTTTCTTGCAAGCTGATAAAAAATTGTTAATTTTCAAAATAATTAATATTCTTTGAATTGAACTCATACTTTATATAATCCGACAAATTTATCTTATTTCTTCGATAAAAACATTATGGATGCGAAAAACTGTTTTCTTTGTGTTCATTTGAACTTTGAGTTCAAAATATGACTTATACAATGAAAGAGATATTTTTAAATAAGCATTTTATTTGCGACAAGACGCATGGAAGAACAACTAATCTTTCAAAAGAGTCCTACATGAATCTAAAAATGAAAACTGACCGTATACTTTTCTGGAAACCAGTACCTATAAATACGATCTTATTTAATTCATCTTGTCAGCAAATAAAGAATAAGCAAGGTTTTTTAAACAAAAGTAGTAATTCAGACACATCCGAAGATTTTTCTTTGATAATGTTTCAAAATCGTGAGAAGTTGGTTCGGATGAAACCAAAATTCCAAATAAATCTCGAATAATTCTGTTAAAAATCAATAGGATATTTATAGACAAGATGTGAATCAAAAGAAGATTCGCACTCACACCCACATTCTCATATTATCTACCACAAATAAATAACAAAATTGAATTCAAACAAAAGCAAATGGTCTGCTGGTTATTGATAGACAAAGTTAGTCTCTCATCGGCTGATAGATTGTCACGCGAAATAGAAAGAAACATAGAACATTAAAATTTCTCATAACATTGCTATTTGATCAATGGAGTATTCCATCACAAAAAACAAAAAACTTAATTGATTGGGTATTCAATGGATAAATATGTTAGTTAAATTCAAATGAGCGAGCATTTTTCAGATTAGTACGAAAACGAGGTTTTTGTTAACTAAAAGTATTCCAAAAACGCGAGAAAACTTCACAGCTGAAGTCTCTGTGGTTTCCTTCTTGTATTATTTCAATCAATTGTTTTTACTTTGAGCAGTGGAAACTTTTTTGACATTCGATTTTCGAGTAATTCTTCACCTTTATTTTATCATTTTATCCGTGAATTTTTCGTGTGATAGAAAATTTTACATAATTTAATGATTTAACCAACATTATTTTCTAGGTCTAGCTAAAACCAATTATGATAGAAATATGTATGCAATTCGGATGAAAATGTAATCATAATAGATTTTTGGCTGTTGAATTCTTGTAAAATGCATAATTATCAAATCAGACTTGCCTACAATTCCTCGTTTTTCACAGAAATTTTCGGCTTTGAACAAACGAAAACAAAACATGCTTTTATAGTATTTAATTCAATAAAAAAAATAAAAATAAAATATTAAGTCAAAGAGACTAAACAATCTGATTTGTTCAACCAGATAATATCATCTTTCAAGAAATCTTTGACAAATGCCAAAAGACTTGGATATTTAGCATTATAATGAATATTTGCATCTCGATGTGGATCATTCTCTAATTCATGATCGATAAATACAAATTTAGTTTGTACCCCTTCAATATCTTGGAAGTTTCGTTTTTTATCATCAACAAAAACTATCGGATGTAATTGTTCAATAGCTTGTTTCTTTGGATTATTGTCTGAACTTTCTATGTCGCGTCTTGTGCTAATGATTCGATCAATAGGAAATCCATGTAATCGAAAATTTTCCAAACGATGTTCAATAAAACAAGCACGCAATGCTGTGACACATACTAATTCATAACCAGCTGCATCCAATAAATGACAAGCTTCAAGAGCTCCATCATGCATAGACATTGTTCGCCATCCATCGACATCCCACGCTGCATTGAATTGAGATTTTTCTTCAGGTGTAAATGTGACACCATACCTGGTCGTGGCCTATAGGGAGAAAGAAAATGAGGAGAGTTATTTCTATATGATTGTAAATAAGTTTCTGATGTGGTAAAAGAATGATTCGTATGTTACTCACACGATATGATTTTGGCGAGACAAGTGTCAATTGTTTTCCAAAGACTTTTCTGTAGATTTGTGGAAAGGTTGTTTGATAGTCGAGCAGTACACCATCACAGTCAAGTGCAATGATTGGCTTCTTGTTGCCAATAGAAAGTAATGATGCATTAGTCATTGCTTTGATTTGCTTCTTTCTGCCTGTAGTAAAATCGGAGAAACGAAAGGACTGAATTGATATGCAACAGAAGAAAAGTAAAATATTTATTGATAAACCAAGACTTGACACGTATACAAAATAATGACGAGTTAGTTTCGAAAGAATCTTGCTTAATTATATGTGAGAATGAGACCAATATAGATCTGGACGTCATATGATATTTTGCATTATTGGAAATCAAAAGCGAATGTCTTGAATCACTAAGTACACAGTTTCTTTCTTTGTTTTTTTCGCGGAACCATCACTGAATCATGAATGACTATTATGAATCTGTACAGTTTCGACGAAAAAAAGATTTTAGCTTCGAAACTTTGAGCAAACAATGACAACTGACATTTTTTTTTTTGCTGTCGATCTCCTTCCGTCCTATGAGTCAATTTGGAATTATTTGGTGTAATAGTTTGTTTTAGATGGTAGTCACAGTTTTTGTTCATAGTAAGAACAAAACGATGTTGATTAAATTGCATCATTATCAACGAAGATAATGTGTGTCAGATTGAAATCGATCTGGACGTTCGTCCAAAAATGGATTTTTAAATAAAAAAATATAGAGCATCCGAGATGCTGCATCTAACACATTGTAGTGGTCTAGTCTAAATGAAAGAAATATAAAACAAAAAATTAGATTCGAACATACATAGAATATATAACTTACCCATTGTTTAATCAATTGAACTATACGATCAAGTAATCAACTTTTACATGTCAATGCACATTCTAAGATACTATTGAATATAGTTTTATTTAGAATTGTTCAAGTTTTGATATGAATAGAAAATATTTATCATAAAATTCATAATTAGCTATATACGGCAGAAAAAAAACTGATTTCAAATTTTCTATTTGTTTTTATCATAAATAATTCTGTTGACTATTGACATTTGGAAGAAAATATTTTGTATTGGAAAAGACAATTAAAATTCAAAAACAAATTAAAAATAAAAAAAATTTTTAAAAAAATATGTTTTTCTATATGATAATTTATATTTATTTTAACTTCAGATTTTTCCAATTTAAATTTAAACATAAACTAAAATTCTATAATTTAAATCCATTTTTAAATTCATATCACAGAAATTAATACTTAAAATAAAATAAAATTCTCATATAACGATATTAAAATTATTTTTTCAATAAAATTAATCTTAATTGTTTTTTCAATTGATAAATTTCATAAGACATAAATTGACAACTCTTGTTAAGACGTAAATCGTTGCTTTGTAATTTTATCTACTTTTTTGTGCTTCAATATATTTTTGTAATCTTAGTATAAAAAGTACAACATTTTTATTCTTGTAAAAGTATTTGATAGCTCTCTTTTGATATAGAAAAGTCAAAATTGCTAAATTACATATGGTCAACTATTCGGTCAATTCTTGATATCGCTGTTAGTTTTGAAAGAGTCTTTTTATTTAAAATAATAACAAAATGATTATTAATTTACCATCTGATTTATATTCTGAAAGCACCTAATTCTCAATCAGCATTTCTAAAAGATAATGTAAATGTTCAAAACTTTCTTGCACTATATTATACATCTTTCTAGTCATAGTACGAACTAGTCTATGAAATTATTCGGACAATTAGATCCAAGGAAAAGGGACTGTTTGAAGAGTTTAGATTAGTCTGAAGTAGGACTGACATTACCTTCTTGAAAATGAACTAGTTATGACTAATACAAATGACCTTTCACACTAGTTCACGTTACTACGAAAAATAATTCAGGCTTTCAATATTACGCCAGATCGAATGTTCGAGTCCATCTATCGTCTCCTTGTCTTCTGGCTTTTTTGTTCCACTGACGAGTCTGGACAGTATAAATAGATGAAATGGACTAGTCTATGATTCGTTGCACGGCATTCTTCATAAACATGAATAGTCCTGAAGAACTGTAAGACGTTTCGGACTGTACCAGACAGTTGTGCGGACATTTTAAACTAGTTATATTGGACATTTTCCCTTATTTTTTGCTCACTTGGATGGGTGTATCTTATTAGTAATAAGTTGGCTGACTGAACACCCAGAAACATTTTTGACTTAGAAGCATAAAATCCAAAAGTTAACCTAAGGTACCTAAGTACCCAAAAGTTCCTGTGACATGCTGATAAAAGAGTACTACTTTGAGTATCTTGAATTCAGCACATTCACTAAAGTAATCTGAAAAATTATTTTTGCAAAGACATGATCAGAATTAGAGATGAGAACCTACATTTACTTTCAATTTAATTGATGTCTAAATTAGATTATCTGTAATTTATATTTAAAATAAATTAACAGGAAAAAGACATTTCTAATCAGAGTAAGAAAAACAAAGTGTTGTATCATAATTTTTGCTTACGTCTCTGTGACGTCAGAGTAAGATAACAACTAGGAAGAACTGTGTTCTTCTTGTGCAATATTTTTTTCTTTCCTTCCAAAAAAAACCAAGAAAACGCAAACAAGTAAAAACAATAACGTGACACATTATTCTTTTGCAATAACTTGCTTATATAAATGAATACGAAATGTGCGATGAGACATTTTTCTACAATTTGAAAAAGAGGCATGTGTGCTTGTGCTAACAGATCATTCTGTCCTCCAACAGACCGACAACGAGCTAAAGCTCTTGGCGACATATGCCAAGTAAGTATCTACAACAGTCACCAAAGTAGCAGTGGAGATGAAGCTGCAACCCATTGTTTATTAGAAATTATTTTCTATTACTTAGTAGATTGTCAGAAATTTTAAAATCTTCTGGATATCTCCATAGTACATTTATTTACACATCTAGAGGTGTAGAATCTGTCGCTAAAATCAAAAATTTCTCTTACTATGAACTCAATAAGTGATTCTTTTGAAAATTTATGAATGTTTCACAATAAGTGACTCAATTTTACATTCTCTTTCGAAATTATTTGACAATTATTTTTAATTTTGATTTTCATGCTAGTAAATAGATGGCTTGATTTTCTTTAAAAAATCGTTGATTTGTTTTTTTTTCCAATAGATGTGTTGTGTAAGAGCAAGGTTAGCGAAACTAACATCTACTCCATCTTGCAATTCTTGTTCATTTGGTGTACAATACTTAGCTTTCAGTATCAGCCTTGATAAGCATCCGCTCACATAAATTGTTTTTTCATGAGTAGAAAACTGAACTTCGTTGTTTAACAGTCGAATAGGATTTGAACTGATGTAGTTTATGCCTACATAATAAAATTTCTCCGGAAAAGAGTCCACACTGAGGCATTTGTTATTTTTCAAAAAACACTTATCACATACTTACCTTCTCTTCCATTGTCAGAAAATGACACGAGAATTGTTTTTGCCCAAAGTTCAGCTCTCCGCACTCTTGAAAAACATCGGGAACTATGTATACACTCCTACAACCCTTCAATGAGACTGACGTATAGAGATCCATTTCACATCATTATATTGCCGAAACATTTAACACATGTTACTCATTACTTTGATAAATTTTAGCTAAATGATGACATTTCCCGAGCGATTACAATCGGTATCGATGAATGTTTTTTACCATTTCCAATACCAAATGTAGGGGATTGGGTTACCGTACATACGGAACAAGGTCAAACTGTTCAAGAATTCGAGCGAACAGTACGAACGGTGCCACATTCAAGGTAGGATTCTGTTAGAGAAACATTTGTTGAATACATCCTGCTGTTCTATCTATTTTAGTTATAGGACAATCTACGTACAACCCATTGGGTCGTTCGACCATCCAAGGTAAGAATATATTAAATTTTTCACATATTCAGGAAATTGAAGATGTGGGAGGTACCAATCCAACTCCGATGTTAGAATCTTGACTTCATGAGATATAGAATGACCTTAAACAAGTTATTAATGGTCATTTGTCTCGGATTATGCATTCAACAACATATTCACAACGCGATTGACATACACAAAAGCCCTGATGGCTAATATGCGGTCAGTCAGCGTGTATGGAAAGCTGAAGTGATTAAACGAGAGGAACTCTGAGTCAGGTCCGCTAGCGATAGTTGCAGGAAAATATTAGATCTTTAGACAGCACTCTATTCCGTAAGGTAGCCGAAAGGCAGGATATTGTCCTTCTTCTTCTACTAGCATAAGAGAGGTAGAGATATAGAACTATTCTATGTCTCCTATATCTCATAAATCTCTCACATCCACATCCTTCTTCAACATTTCTGATTTTCTTGATATGTGACACTATTGATTCTTGGAGGACAAATATGAGGCCGCTTTGAAACAGATCAATTAACCGACTATTGAGTTTCCTAATAATAGACATCATTAAAGCATCACATCGTATGAATTCTTCTAGAGCACCTTCATTGGAAACGATATGTGAATTTTCACGTCCATTTTTTCCTGGATGTCAAATAGAAATTTTACCTCGAATTGATTTTACTGATTTCTCAAAACATGGTCAAAATGGAATGCGTATCAATCCATACACAAAGCAACCACAATATTTGACATCTTTTATAATTGGTCATTTAAAAAAAATGAAACGACGAGAACGTAAACATGATCGTCAAGAATTATTTTGCATTGGCGTTACTATGGCTGATATTTATCCAGGATCAAACTGGAATTTTGTCTATGGTTTAGCATCTATTGACGATGGTATTGGAATATATTCATTTTCACGATTAGATCCATTATTTCCAAACGCAGAAATGGCTGGTCCTTGCACAGATGAAGTACGAATATTAATACTTAAACGTTCTATAAGTGTTTTTGTCCACGAGGTCATACATTTATTTGGTGTCGAACATTGTATCTATTATTTATGTATGATGAACGGAACAGAAACTGAAGAAGAGATGGACGGACAACCATTGTATTTATGTCCAATATGTTTACGAAAAATGTATTCAGCAATTGGAAAAGAGAAGAAACATTTCAATGTTATACAAATGTATACGAAAATTTTAGAGCTTTGTAAAAGCCTTCATTTTAAAGATGAATCGGCATGGTATGAAAACAGATTGAATTTATTGAATATAACAGCGAACAATTAAATGTACATTGAGTTTTTAAAAGTCGTATATATTTTCTAAGAAAAGAGTTATGAAAATTTAAATCGAGTGTTTGTTTTTTTAGATTCTCGTTCCTCCTTAAGTTTTAGCAATGAAAGGAGGAAGAGCAAACATTATTGAATACATTTTTCAAGTAACCGAAAAAGATATGCATCTAAATTCCTTAAAAGAAAGGGTCCTACTCATGATAGCTTACTAACTGATAAAATCCATGTGTATAGCAGGATAATATGATCGTTGAATCGACGAAATGAAAAAACTTATTTTTGCTGATTTTTATGGCATGCATTGTAGATATACCATCATCAGGAGAACAGAAACTATGCATTGAAGATGTATTTGATAATATCAATAAGCTTTCAGAGTATAGCAATATTAAATAAATCAAAAAAAAATTGTAAAGTAAGTATGAATAGGATTGTTTTCGAAACAATAAGATTTCAGAGCATGTCTATCGACTATAAAACATTATTATGATTTTGACCTATTTATTTCGCATTTTTTTAAGAATAGAGTATTTTGAAGAATCTGACAATATATCTTAAATCTATAACAGCCAGAGTTTATGAGTTCTATACTTTGATTGCACTGACAAGTTTTTTTTCAAACATTTAGCATTTTCGATATTATTTACTATCGATCTTTGCATTCTCGAGAAAAGTTAAGTTTATCGAATTAAAAGTGACTTCGATATGATTTGACTTCTTTCATTTTTGTTATTACTATTTCGATGTGAAATTATTTCACATCCATACAAGTGATACAAATTAAATATTTATAACAAGAGATTTATCAGAATTAAACTATACGAAGAGTAAATCGATACGTCTTTATGTATTTCTCATAGCGATTTTTGTTTATTTTATTGTATCTAATTCAAATTAATGCTGATGAAACAATGTAAAAAAACAATACAATAATTCATAATTGAAGAGTTCGTAGGACTTTGTCAATTTTAGAATCCATTCAGTATCAGGCTGTACCTTAGTTAAGGATATAAAAATATGAATATATGATCAACTAGATGCTACTCAAGTTGGACTCACCTCTATTATGTCATATGGTACGAACTTTGAATCTTCGATTTCAAAAAACAAAAGATATCTCGTAATAGAAAAATAATATTTTTATGATTAATAGCAAATTATATTTTACTGGAATCAAACTTTATAGGTCTTCGTCATAAGTTATACACTTGAAGAAAATCGATTTCATTGATCGAAAATTTAAAAAATGAATAAATTCAAAAATCCAAAAAAAAGGAAGAGAACCCTTACATGAATAATGCTCATAATCCCCCTCAATTATAAAGAAAAACAAGCTTTACATGTATAAAACTGGATTCAAGTTTCATTTGATTAATATAATCAAAAACACCGAAGATCTTGTTCACAAAACTTGATTGTGAATGAGATGTGAATCTTCTCTTGTTCCATACTCACCGTACAGTATTAAAATGTGAAACATGATACAGCTACTTGCTTTAGTCATCTTACGAGAGAAGAAATAGCCTTTTTCGAAATATTGGAATTCTTAATTAATTCGAAATCTCAGAATTCAAAAGTCCGAATATTCAAAAACCGATGGTACAAAAACTGTAATAGCATGTCGAGATGTCTATCATGATCTATGGAAAGGAGAGAGTTGCAACTTTCTTGTTATATAATTCATCATATATTCCAATTGTGTTTCATAAATGTGCTACTATTCTGTATTTTCATGATTTTGTGTGGTATATTTTGACGAAAAATATTCTTTCTCCTCCTTGATCATCAGTTTCTTGCATGAAACTGATAGTTTTTCTGTCTAGTGATGGATAGATCTATTAGAATAAACAAACAAAATGTTCGAAAATTAATTCCATCTTTGAATGTTATAAGGATTTCTCTACTGACCATGGGGATACATGATTTCATATTATTGACCACAGAATTTATAGGAGTTTTTTTAACGTCAAGACCAAATAAAAATCTCATTCAAATCTTAAAACTAATCTTCAATAAAATCGATATAAGTAAAGTAATTTGTAAAAAAACAAGTATATTAAACGAATAAATAAATAAAAATAAAATATTTCTGTGAATAGAAAAAGCATAGAGTTATGATTAGGGTTTACCATTTATATTTTCTACTGATTTCTGTTTCTCATTATCCTCATTGATTGTTAATATTTGCGCAGCAGGTTCATCATCATCATCGTCATATTTATTCTTTGACTTATTGTCGGATAGTAAACCACTGAAAAAAGAGAATGCAAGTCAACCAAAATAAAACTGTTCAATAGATCGCTTACAATGCGAGACCCATTCGATGGACTTCTTCGGATGTTTGTGGTAATGGACGATTTAATGTTTCAGGAAATGTTATAGCCAAACCGGCAGCAATAAGTGAAATGACTCCGTAAAGTACAATAGGAAAATTACTCCAAATACGTGTCTAAAATAAGTATTACATCGACAATCGCTAAAAATACATAGAAGTACTGTTTCGTAACTGAATTTCTCCTTTGTTTTTTTATGTCTAGAAAATACTTATTGTAGAATTAATTGAACGAATTGATCATTGTTCTACAAAGATATTCCTCAATTGCAATTTTTTTAAATACTACTATTTCAACTCAAATCATTGGTCGAGAATTGAAATTAATCTTTGGGAGAGAGAATAATACAAAATACTGACTAGATAATCATTGCAAAATGTTCCCATAATGGCTCCTAATCGACCGATCATGGACGAATATCCCATTCCTGTTGTTCGTGTATTTGTCGGTAGAAGTTCCGTAGTAAGTATATAAATAATAAGAAAAGTAAGAGAACCACAAAATTTCAACAATATATTGATTATAAACACTATTATACGTTGAGCTAAAAATGAAAATTCTCAATTAGAATATTTTAATGATTACAGAACTAAACTAATATTCGGTAAGTCTCACATAGGAAAAACATAAATTGTTTTCAATAGTCACATCAATATAAATGAGAAACCTACCATCTTTATAAGCACCCATGTATGTTTGAACAGGTAGAACGAGCATTGCAATAATCCCGAAAGACGCAGCAAATGAACAGTATGGTATTTTTCGTCCTACTCGATCGAGTAAGAGTTGAATGACCATAAAGGCTGGTAGTTCGACCGCTGCACTGATACAAAATGATAGATATGGATCGACTTGCCAGGATCCTTTAACATATAGAATGTATAATGATTGCCTCAACTTATGCACAAACTGAATAGAATTACCTGTACTCTGTGAAACTCCATAATAGACGATATTTTGAGCGAACCTATGTAGAATTAGATTTGAAGAATAATATCTGAATGACTTGTCCAATAGAGACTGACCATTGAAAAAAGAGATTTAGAGTAATAAAAGCTGTAATTTTGAATCGAAATAGACTTGAAATACCAGCATGAGGCACTGTTCCATGACGATCCTAAAATGACAAGTCTCATTATTTTTTTTTTACTATATAAATGACTGACATGACTTTTTGTTATTTTACTCACTCTATTTTGTGTTGCTTTAAATTGTTCATAAGCTTCATGACTAAATTTTTGTTTATTTTCTATCGCAATAGTTCGTAGAACCTTTTCCGCTTCACTGAATCGTCCTTTACTAATTAACCATCGAGGGCTTTCAGGTAAAAAACTACAATGATCAATTCAAATTTGTTCTTCTATTGGATAAAACAAAACCTATTCAAATAATAGATACATACAGATAAAACAAACAATAGGGTAACATCAGAAATGATGTAGTTAATAGTAACATTCTCCATGTTCGAATGAAATAAGCAAAAAGTACAAGCCATAATTGACCAAAAGCATAGAAATAAGTCATTACTGCACCGGCCATAACACGTTTTCTTGGACTAACTTAAATATATCGATAATGAATTAAGATTAAATTTATCAAAGTGAACAATAAAAAAAAGAGAAAGAAACATACCTAATTCTGAACTTAGGACAAATCCTGATTCACTAATACCACGTGTTGAACAAGCGAGTAAAAACCGTGCTATGAGAAAAAATAAATGAGAATATCCCGTACCGAATACATCTTGTGGACAAAAAGTTGAAATAAAAGATACGATAGCCAATATTACGAAGCAGATACTCATGATCGGTCGACGACCAAACCTTTAAATCGGTAGAATATTCAATGAAATAGAAAGATAACATATTAAAAATTGCAGACTTATCGGCCATGCTACCGAAAAAAACTGCACCGACCATGACACCAATAAAATAGGCAACTTGAACAGCTGTACGATAAAGAACTCGATCACAAACCATAGTCCACTTAAAAGAAAATTATCGTTTGTATGTATTATAACATAGATATATCCCATCGAAATACCTCTTCAACTAATGTCTTCTTATAGATCGATCGATCGAATACATAATCTTGACACTTATGAAGTTTACTAATAGACGTTGTATTATGTGTAGCAATTCTTATGAAACATCGTTGACATTCTTTTAATGACAGTAATTTTTGATGCGTAGCACAATCGTCTATTGTTGGTTTATATGTTGTATCATAGAGGTGATTCATTTGAGAATTATACGCATCAGATTCCAATGGAAGACTACATCGAAAATCCGGTGTTGCTGCAGTAAATGACCATGTATAAAATATAAGTGGTGGCACCATATTAGCGAGACAAATAATGAAAAATTTTATTTTTTGATAATAACCCCAATCATTTACCGTTGCATAAAATGTATCAAATTTCATCTTGTATTCTTGAAAAAGACAGAAAATAGAGCTTTCAGCTTAATTCCGGCGAGATTAAAATGTGAAACACAACGGGGTTGTTTCATATGGACAAGACGAAACCAAAAATACCGAACGGCAAGAGAGAAAAAGCTATTTTTTGGCTCCAGGATTGCTATTAAAAAATTCTGAAACTCTTAAAAGTCTATCACTCTAAGATCCACATAAATATAATATCATGGTTCGAAAATCCCATATTCTGTGGTTAATAAATCCACAGTATCATGATCTGAAAGTTCAAAATCAGTCAACTACGTGGTCCAAAAAGCCATAACACAGAATTTGGACATGTCTATCACAGTCCGTGAGGGAGAGGGTACAACTTTCTCGTTCTAAACCTTCAACACTTTTCGAACGTGTTTCACAAAAAATTATTCGACTAGTTGCACTCTTCTATTGTTGATTGTTTATAGAACGATGGTTATCTTATTTGAAGAATAATGCAAACCAAATAGATAACAACATGATGAAATTGAGAGAAGCACGATATATATATATACAATGTTGACTTGTTGCAAAACAGTTCTTATCTCTTCTATAAAAGAAACTATGAAGTGTAGTATCGTTATCGTTCTTTCATTTACTACCATAATAGAAAAAGAAGTAAACAAATGTAACTCAAAAAAAGAACGGTGATATTTGTCTATTTGCTTGTTGTGTTATATTAGAAGCAACTCGACTACGAAAAAAAGAAAAAAAAATGTCCTCCAAAACAAGACCTTTTGTTTATGGTAGATCGTCATTGAATGAATGATTGTTTATTTCTTATAAAGCATCTTATTTGATTTATAAAACTTGTTTCTTGATCTTTCAAATCATATGTTGAATAGAATGATGACTACTTTCATTTCATTTTTTGCCGATCACATTCGACGAAAAAGAGAGAGATTGTTCATCAATGCCATTGACAGAAAGGGTGACCACTGTGTATGTTCTATGTATGACCAGACAATCAGTCCTGATAGAATCATTGCATTCTACTAACCATGGCTTCTCTCTTTCTGATTGCTCTCGAAGTGACGTTGTGTCTCGTCTCCCTGCAATAGTGTCTGATCGATCTCAATGATTCACCACTGTGTTACAAAGATCTTCAAAGTCATTTCACAATGTTTCACTGTCTCATCATCGATATTTGAACCTTGGTGTAGTAACGAGTGTGGATGTGAATGATGACAAGAAGACATCCATATGCACACTCATACCCTGATTTTAATAACAAAGTTATGACTTTAATTGATGGAATAAGTACAATGTATTAAAGTGAACAACAACGAAGTTTTGTAAATAATTTCTTTTAAGAAAAAAGAAGAAAAAGTTCATCTTTTTTCGTTTGACAAGAAATATCTATCAATAACAAGAGGATATAATAGATAGAAAACACATCTTTGTCCTTTCTCTCTAATATAGTCAAAGAGAAATTGAAAGATAGGAGAGAAAAGCTGACATGTTCTCAAAATATTGACAAAGTCAAATTCACTATTTTACCCTACGAAAGCACATTTAACTATCTCTGAAACAATTTGTTATTTTATTTAGCAATAACAACTACAATACACTATTTATTTATATGAAAGAATTTTAAAAAGACAAAGAATTTTTGTATTCATTTACAGATGATATTTCTTTTTTTTTCTCTCGATCAAAAACAATAATTCGATCGATTAATTCTTCTTCATTTTCATGAATTTTAATTTCTTTGGACAATAAATTTGTTTGTATAAGAGTTAATAATGTTTTTTCACCTTGTGTTGGTTTACCAGTTAAACTATGATAGAAATCTTGTACATAATTTTTAATTGGATATCGTGATTCATAAATAGAAATAATTGGTGCATGATATTTTTCAAATAATTGATTTAATTGTTGTGTATGAACTAAAAAACGATGATCGAGTGCTGTTAAATATTGAGTTTTCATTGATAAATATTGTTCTTTTAATGGTTTTTCAATTATATTTAATGGATAAATTAAATTAATACATCGTTGACAACAAATATATTTAATAAAAATTTCTAAATGATGATCCCAATATGAAAATGAACGAAATGAACGTGGAAGAAAAGACCATGACTGTAATATAATTGGTAATTTATTTGGATTTGTTTTTTGAAAATATTTAATAATTATAATAAAAATAATCAGAAGAAAAATACATAGAAGAAATATACTTGCAACTATCCAATGTATTAAAGCAAGAATTAAAAGAATTAATGGAAAAAGAAAAAATATTAATGTTATATAAACTAAAGCAAACCAACGATATTCAGATACAATATAACCAATTTGACGACTTAAATAAATTGGAATACGATGAAAATATGGAAGAATATACCAAAGTATACAACCCGATAGATTAAATAAAAAATGAGTTAATGCTATTTGCATAGATTGACGAAAAAATAGACCAGTTTGAGTAAGAGAAGCAAAACATGCTGTTATTGTTGTACCAATATTAGCACCAATTGTTAATTCATAATTACGTTCAAGTGAAAGTACTTGAAGACCAACTAATGGTGTTAATATTGAACAAAAAACACCTAAAAAATTACGTTATCAATTTAATGACAATGATTCCATTCAGTCAAGGTAGAATGATTATATTAGGCAAATTTTTATCATCGTATTGTTCAGAAAAACTATTCATAAACGAAGTCCGGAAAGAGGTAGATACAGTTGAACGTCCGAACTCTTTCATCATAATTTTTGTTTCACAGTCTTTAAGCATTTTTCAAGTTAAGAACTATTTCAAAAAAGTCAATTTCGAAATTTATATACATGGGATTCAAGCTGGCATAATTGTTTTTTTTGTCAACAGAAGAAGTTTAGTTTTTTCGGGAAATTTCGTAGCTAAAGAATATGAACTTGTATTGTATGAAGAACAGGGTCCTCACCTTCACTCATATCTACGTATAAAGAATCATGACCACAACTTTGGCATGATATGTAGTTATTATTTAGACAATGAGTCATCTTTTGATTGAGTGTGTTTATATAGCATCTGCAGTTCTCCAACTATTATACTCTTAGTCATGAATTAATGATTTCAATTTACATCAAACAAATGTTTCTTTTTCGATTCGTTCATATTCATACGAACTAAGTTTGAAATAACAGTGAACTCGATAAACAAGCTCTTTCTAAAAAATCCTACACAAACTGATCGTCTAGAGAAACAGGAATCAGTCAAAAAACGTGTTTTTGATGAGACATGTTTTATGGATGATCCTTAAGTCCTTCAATTTTTGATTAAATTTTACACATTATTGTTTATTAAATATTTGTGTCGATGTTAAGGCATAGTCAAAATGAGCAAGATTTTTAATATTTAATACAATTTTATGATGCAATTTTAGTTACTATTATTAAAGAAAAAAAATACTAATGGATGATGCATAATAAATCGGACAAAATATTTTTCTCTTTTCATCGTATTTCCTAACATATTAGAGACTTTGTTTTTTTAAATACCTTCTTTTTATTAGCGTAAAATTTAGAAAATGACCATCTACTCAATCGTCTAATTACGATGATCAACAAACACGAAAACGTTTTCATAAAGATTTTGCTAAAAATTTTGTATCATAAGAACTTGTTTAATTTGTCGTAACGAAAATATCAACAGATCACATTTTCAATGCAACACCTGGAAAGCATAAACAATTAGTCATTGTATCTTTCAACTTTATTGCAGACTGAATACCATTAAGGTTTTGTTTTCTTCTATCTCAATCTATCGATTTAACTTTCAATTTCTCAGATATTTAATTCGATAAATATTCATTGAAATACGTACTACTACTTTGAACAAGTATTGCTCCAATAATACCAACAATAATAAAAACATAACCAAGTAAACATTCTTTCCATCCATGAGATTGAATATGAAGAATTTTTTTTAATGTATCATCAATAATACCAATAATTATTGATTTTAATAATTTAACCATAAATAAAAGTATTCCAGTAAGAATTATAAGAGAACATATAAATAAAATTATTCCAACAATATTATCTCCAAATTTTTCAATCATTGATCGAAATAAATATTTACATTTAATTGTTTCATTATAACAATAAATTTTACCAATTGTTTGTTGTGTTTTATTACTTGTTATAATAGTTTCATTAATTTGTATTATTAATTTCGTTAAAGGTTTTGTAATTACTTTAAATAATTGAATATTTATTCCTTGTTTTTCAGGAATCATTGCAGCAATAGCCCCGCTTACACGAGCTAAATAACCACCACCTAGTACAGAAAAAAAAATTAAATTATTTGTAATCAAATAGGAAAATTTTACGATGAAAAATATCTGACATTGTCGTTATACGATCAATAAAAATTTCAATAGGTAGAAGAATAAGTGTTGTTAAATAATTAAATACATCCATGAGTATACCTGATGAAAAACTACGAGAAAATTCATTTCGATTTCCTATTTGACTAAATGCAACAAGAGTATTTGTTATTGATGTTCCTGTATAAAAATAGATAGAAAGAAAATTTTTTTTTTAATTTAAATTATTCAATTATTTTAACATGAACTAGTTTAAACTATCACGTACATTCAATTGGCCTACCTATATTTGCTCCTAAATAATAAACAGAAAGAAAAATATAAGATTAGTCAATAAATACATCAAAATTAGGCTTATCACCAATCATTTGAAGTTAAATTTTAAATATTTTAATCATCAGTCATTAAAATTTATGATTATTATGTCATAGACCAATGTCCAACTCGAGTCGGATCACGAAAAAAGTTTTTGGATTTCGGGATGAATCTTCAATCTAAACATTTGACATATGTTCAAAAGGTATTTTAAATATTTCCTCTTATTAAAAAGTTCTACAAGAAAAAAGTTCTATCACATAATCGTGTTATTCCAACTGCGAAATATCAATGACGAAAACAGGTCAAGGACATATCCTTCGCTTCCAACTACGAAGCGAAAGGAAGAAAAAAGGATTGAGAAAAGTAGTCGAGATTAGAATCCGACTCGAGTCGGGCCACGACACGTAAATGAAAGCAATTTACACATTGTAACTACGCTGTATTTACGTCAAATCAATAAAACGCCTAAACTCCATAACTAGCTGCCATGTAAACGTAGATAATCAATACATACACTTGAATCCTATTTAACGCTGCCAAGCTTTCATGACCTAATATTTTACGAGAGGAGAGAGTATCATGTGCTGCCGTAAAGCCACCATAAGAAAGTACCTGGCATGTTGGACACTGTAATTTATACATTGCATAAATCAGTCAAAACTTTAAATAAAAAATGGCATAAAAGAACAATTAAAAAAGTCACGTGCTAAATTTTCTCGGCTATTTTGAATCGTATTTCTCTTCTGAATACCTCGGAATGCAGTGTTTCTCATTTTTTATGGATTATTTGTGTTAACATTGATTTATATTAATTCAAAGACCATAAAAGATAGTTAAAGAAATATTCATTAATAATATTAAATAGTTTTCATAATAAAAACTAACTTCAAATGATTTTTTAAGACTAAATACCACGCTTGTTTGTTTGTTTTTTTAGTTATTCTCACCCATAATCATTGGAATAACTGAACGAACATCGTCAACAATTCCACTACCAACCATTGAAACAATAATCGATGTAACAGTAGATGAACTTTGTAGAATAGTTGTTATAATAATTCCAAACATTAGACTAATAATAGGATTTTTCAAAAATATTCGACTACGAAATATTTGTCCAAATGTTGAACGACTTAATAATATAAATGCTGATGTCATTAAATCAAGTGTTATAGTAAATAGATATAATAAAAAAATAAAAACAAAAATTCTTATTAAAATATTTAATAAATAAAGAAATTTTTCTCGTTTTGACATTATTTTCCATGGTATTCGACCAGTTTGTTCATAACAATGAGCAACAAATATCATTTGTATTTCATCAACATTGATTTTTTCTTTTATTTCAATTAAATTTGCATGAAGTTTTTGTGTATATTCATCAGAATTAATTGGTAATGAAATATATGATTCAAGTATTGATTGATATTGTACATTATCATCTGTATTGATATTTTCCATCTAGAAATGATTTTTTTTTAAATTCTTGCGCCAAAAAACAAAAAAAAAATAAACAGATATATATTTATTTAAAAGTTTTTAAAAAGAAAATACAAAAACAATTTTAAATATATTTAAAAGAAGAATATTGATCAAGTAATTTAATTGTTATATAAAGTTTTCTATCATAATGATAATGTAATGATAAACTTGATAAATCTATATTTGATGGTAATGTTATTTGTCGATAAAAATCTGTTTGTTCAACTTGAACCATAAGATCATTATCATTCATAGATACGCGAATTTTATCTGGATTATAATCATACATATCTAGTTTCATTTCTATATATCGTTGATTACGATCATCAGTAAATATTTGTGGTTGAAATGTACTACGATAAAAAACATTGGAATTAAAATCTCGAGGAAAAAGTGATGATTCATTATTATTATCACTGTTATTAGTATCTAATGATAATGGTGGTGTCATACTTTGACGATTAGAATTCATATTTGATTGAAAACGATCTTGATTAATATTGAATAATGTTGGACTAGCGGAATGTTGATGTTTAGTTTCATATGATGATTGAATACCTGTTGTTGGACTTGATCGTTGACGATGTGTTTCTGTAAATGTTTGTTTATATGGAGTATTATTTTTATTTATTAAAGGATCATTAACTAATTGACGAAATTTATAAATTGGACTAATTGAATGTGCAGATAAAAGCGATGAATTTATTGAATTATTAGATAATTGACGTATTGGAATTTGATGGGTATCATTATGTCGATTTTCATCAGGTGGTTCATCATAAGAAGAATGAATATATGAACTTGAAAATGTGTTACTATCATTTAATTTTTGTGGTGATGAATATCTACTTGATTGAACTAATGGAGTTGGTAAATATTTTGATAAAAATTCAACTTGCATTATTATTGGTGATGGAAAAGTAACATGTGAACTTAAGAAAGAAAAAAAACAAAAGATTTATTTTTAAAAGCTAAATGAAAATATATACAAATTTACCGGAATGTATCAATATCAGGAGGTAATTCATAGAATTTGTCGATTATTTTTTTTGATGTGCCCTAAAATTAGAGATCTATCTAATTAAATTTCTATGAAACTGTTTCTCACTTGACTTTTGTTCTCGATATGTTCACCATATACAAAAAGTTTATTTCCATCAACACGAATACCAACCTAATTATATAATATACGAATTACAAAATATATATATATATATATATATATCAGAAAGAAAACAAATTACTTCATTTTGATTAAATCCTTCAATATTAATTCTTACACGAAATTTTTCATTACCAGTTATTGGATCATTAATCCATTGTTGTGTTGTTTCTTTAGAATGAATTTGATTTTGAGTATGTTGTTCATTAAATTGATAGTTAGAAGAATTTGGCAAACGACGAATAGGTATATCAATTCGTTTATTCAACGGTATGCTATAGTCAAATGTTGGTGATTCTGTAAAACGGTACGAAGATGACATGATTTTTTCTCGTAAGTTTGATACAAATCTAGGGAAAAAAAAGGTTGTTCTTTTTTTAATCAGTATAATCTATATGTATATATATATATATATATGGACTGCACTAGTATTGTACGTTTTGAAGTAAAAAATTAAAGTGTATATGAAGAAAGTTTGAGCCGTACATTTTATAGAGCTCTAGTGGTTGTATGTAAATCAAGTATTTTCCTAACTGCCAGTTTTTGAATTTCGGGAAAAAATCGCGTTTTATACTAAAATGAATTTTTTTCTGAGACTTTTTTTTTTACAAAATAAAATCTGTAAATGAATTTGTATATGTTATTATGAGATATGAATCGGAAGATTTTGAATAGGAGAATCGAATTTATTCATACATATATTAATGCTTATCTTAAGGATGTGAGGATGAGGATAGCATCTTTGCACCTTAATCACTACCTCCACTCTACCTTCAAATCTTTCAGTAAATGTCTGGAAACTTATTTCAATCTGAGAAGAGTCGATTGAAGTCAAAGAAGGGCGTAATTCATCCGTATATGTATGTGTTATTGGACTATATGAATATACGTATAAAAATAATAGAATGACGATAATGACAAATTCATATGGTTATTACTTGTAATTTTGGTTGACGCTTCACAACTTACTATTGGTATAATTCAATCGAAGTGAACGAATAATGAGAAAGAAATTAATCTTTACATTTTTTTTTCTTGTTTTCATATATACGTATATGCTATAATTCATTCAGTGGTGCTTATGGATCTGTTACCTATTGAATCAACAGTAAAATATTGACTTTTGTATCACTGGTTTTTTTTTTCATTGATATTGTAACTCACTATTTGATTGTCAATGACATATAGAAATATGGAACTATAGCTTTAATAAAATTAGTTCTCCTGAAAGAATAAGGTATTATTTAATATGTGTCTTTTCAGGTGTCTTTCTTAATACCAGAAGTAGCTAACATTGTCAAGATTTGGAAAAGGTGCCATTTTAATGTATGTGTCCATATTAATTTTGAAAATAATTTCGATTAAATCTGGATTGTCTGCGTTGTTTCCAGTTAAAACCAAATACATATCTCGGTCTTTTCTCGTAGATGAGAAATTGTTGAACGACAAGAGTCCATCTTTTACTTTCGTCATTTTATCAAAGTCTGTCGGTGACTTGCCTTGATCATGGTAGACAGTCATTGGATTGTTCAAAAGAAAATTGCTCCACGTGCAGCTGTTCGTTTTGTCGATGAAGATTCCGAACGAAAAAGCCCAATTTGATAATAGTATCAACTTTTTAGTTACTCAGAGCTCGACTAACCATAGAATAAATGAAATCGAAGTAGGCATATCACTAAATTGGGCATTTGAGGTAATACTCTGTCTCAAAATTGTTCATAAAGTTTGATGCGCTACTATGATGAAGTAGTTGTGTATATATGAAGGATTGATCAAGTTGATCTAAGTTTTGATTTGTTACATCACTTGCTGGAACAAAAACTGGTGGAAGCAGAACCGTGATCAAATTGTCGTGCGACTTCTCTAAGTAATTTACAAATCGAAATGATATCTGTGAAAATATCTTTCATTTTCGACCAATCGTTTGCTACAAAACACATTGATTGAATCGAGTTGGACCTTGTGATGAATTTGCAGCACCATATATTGATCGACTCCATTGAACACAATCATGAATGTCTTTTCGTAAGTAACTCGTGTGAGAAACTGAATGCTTTTGCCAATATCATTTAACTTAACTAGATTACATTCGAGTTTCACTCAGCTGTGAAATGCGTTGCAAAACTACAAATATCGGAAATAAAAAAAACGATATGTCATAACAAACAAATAATCATTTTTATGATTTATCATAAAATGTTTTCTTTTCGTAAAGATATTTACACTTTATTGGATTAATGTTGTTTTTGTTGGTGCGAATTGGAGAACGGTGTGAGGGCAGGTATGAGTTTAGGTAGGTAGGTAAGTGAGGGTCAAAAACTTCTTTTCATCTCAACATCTACAAAAGAAATAAAGAGTAAAATCCTGAAAGAAAAATTGTTCTGAAAGTTGTCAGAATACTATACTTCAATGATTCTTTAGTGCATCGAAACAGAAAAACCAATGAACAACAGCATCATAAGGCCGAACAGGCACGTTGTATAATCGATATAATAATGATCTCAATAGTGTATCCGATCTTTCCAACGGTTTATCTTTTATTGTAGGAAAAAAGTTATGATTATACAATCAGAGCATTTTTTAAGGTTGATAAACTAATATTTCATAGTTTTTTTCGCTTGTTTTTCATTTTTTCTTTTTCAATAATAAACGCTACATTCGAATACAGAGGTTTAGTTTTTTAATTTTCTGGACGAGAAAGTATCCAGAAGTCTCCATCTCAGTTGTCGATATTTTTAGTTTTGATTAAAATTTAGATAACCATCCGATCTTCAAAGATGAACATCTTCACTGAGATAAATCCGTAGAGTGACTTATAGTCTTTGACTTTCTACAGTCAGTTATGCCACTTGATTCAAAATATTCATCATCTTTCTATTGTTTCACAATTTCTATCTTGATACGTTGCGCTTGAAATCCATCATCCGATCAGCGACTCAAGATCGATGGGCAACGTTCTAACAAACAACAAAACGTATCATTCATTTCACATCTGATTAAGGTAATTGCTATGAGCTTGCACACCATTTTAGTGCTTGTTCGGGGACAGTTCTTACTGATGATCATTTGTCATTAAATTATAAAATGAAATTTCGCCTTTCGATTTTTCTGAGCGAAAAAGCTCTTGTATGATCGCTAGAGCAAGTTATTATTGTAAAGAAATTCGATGTTAGACAGCGCATTGTTAGCATTTCTCATATATGATATCATACGACTGCTGTTTCGTTTGCTCATGAAAATGAAATTTCGAGATTCAACTGTAATGTTTTGATGTATGCAAATATCAGTGTATATTTTCTCACCGTAACGGTAGGAAGCGCAAAGGAAGGTGAAGAAAGAGGAAAAAAATCGAAAGAACGAAATACACGCGATGATGAGTGCTGTCATGAAAACAATATTGCCACTACCTAATGAAAATGTCATGCTTCATTGATTTATGTAAACATACGTAAGTTGGAAAAACCAAGTAATTTTTGTCGGCGCTAAATACGGAGCGAAACTGGTTGCAAGCACATAAAAAGAATTCGTACACTACATTATTACTTAGCACGTAAGTTTATTTTATTTCTAACATTATTAGACTATAATGATAAAATTAAAGTTGAAAGCCCACAGTTGCTACAAACAACAAAAATTTATTAGATTTGTAAATAAGATATTTTAATTACCAGAAAGTAATTTTAAGAAAGCTCCAATTGAGGATGCTTAGCATATACAATCGATAGTAATGATTAAAGTAGGTCTGACACGTTAATTAGACCTGCTACAAAGACATGTCAATCAGAATGAACTTTATAATGTTCACATTTCACCGAGAATAATGGTGATGGAAGACAGGAATTTTGACTCTTGGAAAGTTCAGGTAACAGCGAATTCAATAAATTCTAATAGAAGTATTTTAATGATGTAGTAGTACCGTAAAAGCTATTTGAACTTCGACAAACTCAATCAAAATCTATGATTTGAGCATCAGACCACAAAGTTGTTATTCACAGAATTGAAGAAGCTTCATGATTTTTCAAATGCAACAACTAGCGAAATTTTTCCATAAAAGACAGTCGATTTGTTCGTCCGTATGAGCAGCAGTCAAAGAGTAGAACGATTGGATAAATTTCATCGATTGACATATTCGTCTTCATAGAAAAAAACTTCATGAAAACAAGCATTTAGGCAAATGGAATTGAGCAGATTTTACTTTATTTATAATTCATTGTCATATTGTGAATCAATCGCGATAGTGATATAAGCGCCACTCGGAAAAGAAGATTTTAATGTTCCATTCTTGCATCTGAGTTATGTATTATTTGCAAATGGATCAGTGCGATGCAACAAATCTTCAATAATTATCATGTAACGAATGTGGCAGAAAAAATGTCGACCTCAATATTTTCACAAGAAATTCTTCAGTTTACTTCCTCTTAAGCAAGACTTATTTCTGGAACACCTACCGTGCAATTCTACGCGAGACGTGTGTCAAAAGATTTCATGAAGAATTTGCAGACAAAAATTCAGCTAGAAATTAAACATGCAGAAAAGGGCCAACTGCTCAATTCCTTTCGAAATTAAACTTGAGAATATCTTTTACAATAGTAGAGTGTGGATGTGGCTGTTACTACGTACCTTCTCTTCACGTACACCGACGTCGACATCCACACACTGTTCAACGCAATGATATTCAAGTTATTGTGAAGATGAAAATCAAAGGAGAGTGTGGATGTGATGGTTTTCGTCGCTCATAACCACACTCACACTCGTACCCTTCCACACTTACAATTTTGATATAAGTAAAGATTATCCTATTGAACAAGGAAAGAAATCAAAGGCTAATTTGATTTTGAATATTGATTCAAATTCGAATTGGAACTGCTTAATAGTACATGACACGATTAAAGTCCATAGCTGCAATTAGGCAGCTCTTAAATTACTGTAATATCTAATCGGTCGAAGTTTGCGTTGCTTTCTAGATACAAGGAGGCCACCAGGTAAGACCGTAAATCTGCCACCTCCTTGAATCTCACTTTCAATAGAATAGAGAAGTCGAGCATGAAATTCTGCACATTTCTGTCTATTTATTTTGTTTTTTGTTGAAGACAAAAAAAACTTTTCGTGGGTTAAATAGTCTGAGGGAGTCTATCAGCCCTCGACATTTCGAATACATGTGGGTGGATGTGAG